AAATGATTGGATTAGAAGGAGAAATTTAAAGAGATATAAGATAGGATGTATTAAAAACAAAACAAAGAATAATTGAATAGGTTATAAAATTCATTTGAGTTTGTTGATAACAATTAATCTATCAATCTAACATAACATCAATAAAATCACTGATGTTTGTAATTAAGTAAGTAAATAAAGCATTAACACACTTAACTTCTGAAATAGATTTCATTGAATATTCTTTCCAGAAAATATAAGGACCAAATATTGTACCCATATTAACTCGGTCCATTTTATTAAATTGTTGTTGAGTAGAAATTAAATGAGCTAAATTAACTAAAGCTAATAGCAATTGTCTGTTTTCATTTGGAATTTGTAAAATTAATTCTTTTAATTGAGAAGTAGTAGTATTATTTGGGACAGAAGCTATCATTATTAATTGCTATTTATTTCTTTTAATTTCTTTTATTTAAAATGAAAGTAACAAACAAAAAATTTTAACTACTTCTTGACCAATATTTGCTGTTAATAGTGGTTCAGGAAGTGATTGTAAATATGTTTTCATTACAGAAGTAACAATATGTGGATCTTCATCCAATGGAAATGAAGTAATTCTACAATGATTAAATGCTTCAATATATTGATCTACACGTTCTTTATTTCCACTCATTCTAAAAATGCCTTCAGTTGTAAAAGCATCAACATTTGCAGAGAAATATTGAATACCAAATTCAATGACAAGTGGAATTCCAGAACGACCTCTATTATTACTTTTATTTGCCTCTTTTAAAGAAATACCAAAAATTGGATGAGGAATTGAAGTATAACTAAGTAATGCCCATTGAGGAAGTTGAATAACACCAACAGGAATATCTTCATATAAATCATAAATGTCTTTTATTAATTTAATTTTTGAAATAGTTTCAAGAGGTAATAAAGAAGTAGTAAATTTTAATTTAACAGTTTCAGGCATTAATAATAAAATATAATATAAGTTATTATGATATTTTTCAGGAAATAATCGATATAAAGATTTAAATAATTGTAATGGAAGAGAATCATTTGAATCAATATAAACAATTATATATTCTTGATTTACATATTGATCCAATTTATTTATTAAATATAAATAAAATAATTTTATTTGATTTTCATTAAATGAATAATCTTTTAATTGAAATTCATCAGCATTAATAATAATTACTGGTCTTTTTGTTCTATCTGTAAATTTAGTAATTAAAAAATTATTCCATTTATTAAACATTGAAAAATTTTGTGTTTTAGAATATTCAAGCCAAATATTATATGTGTCATTTCCCATTACTATTTGATGTATTTTATTCTATATTATTATTTATTATTTATTTATTATTTATTCTTTTTAACAAACTTTTGAGTCTTTAATAAATGCTTTTGTTTGTATTAAATATTCATCATCAATTTCAATTACTGAAGTTAATCCAATATCTCCAAAATCATCTAATAATACTGGTGGACTCAAACTTCTTTGTATTGGAAACTATTCATTTTATTATTTCTTTCTTTTAAGACAACTTTTAATAATTTATTTTCAAACTTCAACTGGATTCGTTATTTGGTGTTGACTAAGTTGAGGTAATGACTGTTCTTTTTTAAATAACTTGTCTATTACTTTCGATTTTTTATGAATTGGTTCTATTAGTTCATTTGTTGTTTTTGTTTCACTCATTTGTTTTATTTTATTGATTTCTTTACTTTTTTAGTTCTTGTATCTTTTTGTTTTATATAACGAAATATTCTTTATTAAAAATTAGTATTTTTTCTTCTTCGTTAGTTTGTATTTTCTTCTCTCTCTCATTTTTTATTCTTTTTTGATTCTCTTTGTTATTGTTTTGTCTTGGCTATTAAATAATGGTTGAATTATCTTATTTTGTTTTTTCTTAAATAATTTCATAAAAATTAATATCAAAATTGTCTTATCAATTTGGTTAGTAAAAAAAAACATTTGAAAATGAAAAATTTAAGAATATTGATTGTTAAGAAATTAATATTTTTTTATTTCCGTTTTCATACCAATTCTTTCAAAAACCTTTTGGATATTACTGAATTTGTAAATAGTAACTTAGACTAAAATTCATAACAATTTCTCTACTTATTAATTATTAATACAAATGATTATAAAAATATATAAATTATATTAAAAACGATATGAAAAAGATTTAAATTATATTCAATAAGTATTTTCTATATGACATTATTTCATAAATTAAAATATACAAATTATAAATAAATATAAAATAATAGTTTCAATGTGTTTTAGTTCAAATTCAACATTTTTTACATTTTTTACAAATTGAATGATGTATTATTATTTTATTATCATTTTAATTTAAAAAAGAAAAAAAAAAGGAAAAGAAGAAAATAAAAAGTTAAAGAAGAAATAACAAATTTATTAACAAGAAAAGTTTCAATAAAAAATAAATGATTTAAGATAAGACAATCAACAAATAATAAAATAAATTTAATTGAAAGATTGAATAGAGAAAGAGTTACCATTTAAATCCAATTTAAAAGTAATATAATTAGCATTAGAACTCATAACCATTCTATCAACAATAATTTTTAATTCAAAATTATCAGAAGTAATAATAATTTTATTACAAATAATATGTTCTTCTTCTTTTTCAATATTTTTTTGACCAATTTTAAAAGGAATCATAATAAAATTATCATTTTTATTTTCTTTATAAATTTCAATAGAATCAAAACTTTTTTTCATTTTATTCACTTGAATTTTTTTATCTTTTAATTTCCAATAATCAACAGTGACAGTTTTATTTCCACAAATAACTTTTGCTGAAATAATCATTGGTATATTTTTGCTTGTTTCTCCTTCAAAAAAATTTACTTCACTTAATATCATTTTTTGTAAACATTTACAACATAAATATTCTTCAATAGAAATTAACGCTGTTTCTTTATTATTTTCCATAATATTTAACCAATTAATACAGAAATTTGCTTTATATTTGAAGTCTATTTTTCCTAATTCTTTTGCAATTAAACAATTTTTTGTTGTTGGAATAAAAAATAGAAGAACGTTTATTATTTTTTTTCTTTGATTAATACTTGAAAGTTGTCGAACAAATAAACCAATAAACCAGTCTCCACCACATAAAACAATTGGAAGAGAAATATTATTTCTTGCATTTTCTATTAAAAATGGAATAACTTGTTCATTAAAATCACCATTAAATACTTCAACAAAATGATATTTTTCATAATTATCTGATGATTCAATAATTTTTCTTATTTGTTCACTTCTTTTTTTCTTTGCTTGGACTATAATTATTATTCCTTCATTTATCCCTTTTAATGGTAAATCTTCATGAATATCATCTACTTCTGTTTGTTCTTCTTCTCGTGGTGATAAAATTCTTTTTTCAATAATTTGTGTTTGTTCTTTCTTTTGGAGATGCATAACTCGTCTCAAAGTTGCTGCTCTTGATCTCTTTTCTGGTATTTTTTCTGGATTATTAAATGCTTTTGTCTGTTGTTCATATTCAGTTAAACATTCTTTTTGAAATTGATTTATTTCATTTATCGAACAACATTCACTTGGCATAGAACTTGCTTCAATATTTAATTCTCCAAATTCTTTTCCATTAAATTTCCCAATTCCAATAATTTGAAGACTTCCTTTAAATTCTGAAATAAATGTTTCTTGAAGTGAAAATTTACATCCACCAATTTGTTTATTTTCTTTCTTTGATTTTTTGAATAATTTAATTAAAAGAAAGTCATTCAAATTATAATAATGTATATATGGAAATATAATAACTTCATCATATCTATTTTCTCCTTTTAATAATGGTATAAATGAACTTTTAGATTTTGATATTGTTGATATAAATTGAATTGAACAAATCCATTCTTTTTCTCCAATTTCTAATTTTGTTTTATTGATTTTAATAAATAAATTCCTTTTGATAGAACATCGTGGACATTCTTCATTATTGATAACTCCTTTCATTTAATGAATGGTCAATAAAAGATGTGATTAAATCTCATTTTATTTTCTTTTTTAGT